GGTTTTCTTTCCCCCTTTTTTTTTTTTTTCCCCCAAGATGGAGTTTTGCTCTTTTCACCCAGGCTGGAGTACAATGGGACGATCTTGGCTCACTGCAGCCTCTACCTACGGGGTTCAAACGATTCTCCTGCCTCAGCCTCCCAGGTAGCTGGGACTACAGGCTTATGCTACCATGCCCAGCTAATTTTTGTATTTTTAGTAGAGATGGGGTTTCACCATGTTGGCCCAGTTGGTTTTGATCTCTTGACCTCATGATCCACCCGCCTCGGCCTCCCAAAGTACTGGGATTACAGGCGTGAGTCACCACGCTGGCCCTGAATATTTGGTTTTCTAGATCCTTTTCTGGAAATCATTGCTGCTTTGTATGCAAAAGGTAGGTTTTTGGGTTATGTTGGAAAACAGTGATTGAATGGAATATTTATGTATTTGTCAACTATAGTGCATAGATAGGGTCATGTTTCAAGAAGTAGTTATGTGCATTTTCCCTTTAGTCCTCACAGCAGTCCTCCAGGGGTAAGTTCTTTCGTTGTCCCTATTTTATATATGAGGAAACAGAGGCTTAGTTAGGTGAGTCACTTGCTCAAGGTCAGTAGTTAGTGGATGAGCCAGATCTGTTTGGTTATAAGGCACGTGTATATTTTACCCTGTCTATTCAATTCGTTTCACCTTCACTGTGATAATCGGTGTTTTTCTCATTTATCTCAAAGAAAGTCGTAATACATAGCTGTGTTTCATATTTATATTTGACTTTAAAAGCAGTGAAATAAATACTACAAAAGGTGTTCTGTCAACAGTCAATGATCACAAGGTAAAAGCAGATGTTCTGTCTCAGCGATTCATGCTAGAATGGTAGGAAGATTCCTCTAGTACCTGAAGGACCAGAATCAAATCACACAGGGCTATTGGCTACAGAGACTATGAAAGGTGTACTACAGGACACAAAGGTGTACTACAGGATACAACGTAATGACTTTAATTTGTAATTAGAAGCAGGTCTCTTTGCTCTTCCAGAACCCTTTCTTCTTGGACCTTCTCCGCCCAGCTTCACCAGTATGGTTTTTTACTGGAATAAATGATTAATTTTGGTACAAGTAAAATTCAGTGGTAATTTTCTCTCTAGCTGTAACTGAAATAATAGACCTATATTAAGCAATGTATTAATTGAAACATTTTCAATAGCTAAGGCCTATTCATGTAGAAAGTAGTTGAAAACATATATTCAGACCAATTTTTCACTTAATTGTTGTAATTCTTTGTGTAAAAGCAAAAATAAATAAATAAATGAAGTGGAAGGTGGGGAGGGTAAGTACCAAGAGGTAGAGTTAAAACAGCTAGGTTAATGTAGGTTTCATTGTTGTTTTTCTTCTTTATTCTTGCATACCCAAAAGTGAACATCTTAGCAATAGTGGGCCATTTCCAAGTTGATCCTGGTACAGTGGAACTGCTTGAAGTCCTAAGCAGCCTCATTAGCCATCAAAATCAAGGTGCCGAGGCATATTCCATAGAGACTCAGGGCTCCTTCCACCTTTAAATAGCACTCAGAATTAGACTTCATAGAGGTGTTCTAGATCGAGCTAGATCTGTCAGCAAACCCCAATCTACATCTGCAATTTCTCTGCATCCTTTATTTCATCCATCCCTTCATCTAGCACCTACATTCTGCCAAGTTCTAGGAAGTTAACAAAGTCCCTGACTTAAGACTTCATTATATTCTAAGAGAGAAGAGGAATGAGGATAACATCAGGCAGTGGTAGATAGTTTGAAGAATACCAAATCCATCAACAGGAAGGGATTTCTTCAATGTTTTCCCATATACTTTCAACAGATAGTTGTATTCTCTTGTCGTGAAAGACAATACTGTCTCATATTAAAGACCTGATTGATATTTTAACATTTACTGACCGATTAAGAGATAATTCTCTGCTCTTTTTTTCTCTTTACTTTCTCTATTCTCATTCTTTTCCACTTACATGTTGTGTCTGTTATCTACTGCCACATAACAAAGTACCCCAAAATATAGTGGCTTAAACCAGCCACCATTTATTTGGCTCCCCATTCTGTGGTTTGGTTGAGCAGATTCTGGTCTGGGTGAGTTCAGGTGATCTCTGCTGGCTCACTTGTGCATCTGCAGTTGGCTAGAAGGTTGACTGGTAGCTGGACAGTCTACAGTGGTTTCACTTACAGTCTAACTATTGGCAGGCTGTTGGCCAGGTGTACAGAGGACAGCAGGACTGTTAGCCCAGGCTAACTTGGGCTTCTTCTCATGGTAATGGTGGCTATTTGGGTCCCAGTATCAAGAGAGTGGAAGCGGCAAGGTCCGTTGAAGTCTGGGTGTGGAAATTGTACAGCATCACTTCTGCCTCATTCTGTTAGTCGAAGCTGGTCACAAGATCAGCCCAGATTCGAGGGGTAGAGAAATAGATTTCTACTCTTGATGGAAGGACCTACAGCATGATGTTGCAAAGAGTAAGATGCAGTGAAGGAAAGAGTTCGTAGCCATTTGTGTAATCAGTCAAACATTGTAAACTCCTCCTGTGAACATATTCTATAACTCTTAGTGAATTTTTTTTTTTTTTTTTTGAGACGGAGTTTCACTCATGTTACCGAGGTTGGAGTGCAATGGCGCGATCTCGGCTCACCGCAACCTCCGCCTCCCGGGTTCAGGCAATTCTCCTGCCTCAGCCTCCTGAGTAGCTGGGATTACAGGCACGCACCACCATGCCCAGCTATTTTTTGTATTTTTAGTAGAGACGGGGTTTCACCATGTTGACCAGGATGGTCTCGATCTCTTGACCTCGTGATCCACCCACCTCGGCCTCCCAAAGTGCTGGGAATACAGGCTTGTGCCACCGCGCCTGGCCAGCTCTTAGTGAATTTTTAGGAATTATGATATGGGGTTTTATTATCTAAGAATTTATATAATTCAGTGTTGCAAAGTCTGTCCTGTTCTTGGAAATAGATGTTACCAGGGAACAGTTAGTTTTCATTCTGTTCCTGGTAGGAAATAGTCTTTTTAACTTCCTCTTGTTTTCTGGTAGAGTTAGCATTTAACTTGTAGCTTTCTGAAATGAATATATAGGGTCTCTGTATGATAATTAACCATGTGATATGTTAATATTACCCATGACAGGCATTGTAGACTAAAGATAAACACACAGAGTTTGACTGTTTAGTTTATCTGATCAGTTACCTTAGTGCATTTTAAAGTGTGTTTGTGTAATAAAACGTTCATAATAATAACTAACATGTATTAAGGACTATCTGTCAGACACTGCCTAAGTTATAGGTTTCATCTTATTTAATTTTCATAACAAAAACAAAAATATAGATATTATTAGTAGTACCATTTTAGAGATGAAGAAACTTATGCTTAGAAATTTACAAATATGCCCAGAGCCACATGACCAACGTTCTTCTCTAAGATTCAACAAAGATGACATCATAATTCAGATATGCCAACATTCAAATGGATCCAGTCGTCCAGTGTTATTTTCTTTTTTTTTTTTCTGAGACAGAGTATCGCTCTTACTGCCCAGGATAGAGTGCAATGGTGCAATCTCAGCTCACCACAACCTCCTTCGCCTCCGAGGTTTAAGCCCCTGCCTCAGCCTCCCAGGTAACTGGGATTATAGGCATGCACCACCTTGCCTAGCTAATGTTTTATATTTCTAGTAGAGACGGGGTTTCTCCATGTTGGTCAGTCTGGTATTGAACTCCTGACATCAGGTGATCCGCCCGTCTCAGCCTCCCAAAGTGCTGGGATTACAGGTGTGAGCCACCACGCCCGGCCTGTAGTGTTTTCTAACTCCGCTTTTAGATGCACCATTGTATAGCCCTTACAACCAGGCCTGTCCCTTCCGTAGTCATTGGAGTACCTGAGCTCCACAGAACCCCAGGTTATACACTAAGGACACAGGTTGTTAGGGCTCCTGGATGGGGATAAGTGTGTTTATTTTAAACCATGTGCTTTTGGCTACTGAGCTTACGATTTCAAAGGTGAAAGCTGTGCATATTATTAGACTTCTCAAGGGAGTACCCCTAGATTGGGAGAAAAGTTGACATTGGGTAATATTAAAATTTTCTTTCAAAACCAGGGCTGTTTTGTTGTTGTTTACAATTTTAGAGTCTGGACTGAGAGTCCCGAAGTGCAGCTACCTCTCTGACCTCTTCCCCCAAGAGCTAGAGAATTCGCTCTGCCCCCAGGCCACCCAGCCTTCCCTTGCTCTCCTGGATGGGACCCTGACAATTCCCTGGAATTGTAACCTCTTCCTTACTACTGAGGCTAAGAGGTTCTACTTTACTCCATTCAGGGTTTTTCTTTATATCTGTGTAGATTGTGGCTTTTTGCTTTTTCTTTTTAATTTTATTTTGAAACAGGAAGGACAGTTATCTGATATTAGAAATCAAGGAAGCAATATTTGTATTTGTCATGATAGGCTCAGACTAAAAGTAGTTGTATTGAAGAATATTTGAAATATTTTTAAACTATTTGTTTGAAACTATACCTATTTGTATAATGTGACCGGATCAAACCGAGTGTATCTTTGGGTGGCACCAAATATGTTGGTTTCTTGCATGGATTGATTATTCTGAAGTTCATGATTTCTGTGGGTCTCAGATGGGTGGAAGTTCCCATCTTAGTCCTTAAGACTCTGACCCCAATTGTAAGAGTTGAGGAATTCTGTGATAGTTGTTAAGATAAGCGATTATTCCTAAGAAAGAATATTATTATAGAAATTTTCAAATGTCAAAAATGTTTGAAAGAATAATGTAACAAAGCCCCATGTTCCCACTTTAACTATTGTCAACGTATGCCCAGTCTTCTTTCAAAGTCAGTCCTGGATGTGTTATCCATAAGAGGTCTTCCTGAAGACATTCAAAAGAGGGAACTCTTTGCTTTGGAACCCTGATGTGATCACGTTAATTACTGCTTCTAGGCCTGTAGCTGAAGGAACCACCAGCTTTTTCAAACTTCTGATCTTTCTGCTTCCCTTTTCCAGGGCCCAGTCATATATGCGCAGTTAGACCACTCCGGCGGACATCACAGTGACAAGATTAACAAGTCAGAGTCTGTGGTGTATGCAGATATCCGGAAAAATTAAGAGAAGACCTAGAACATATCCTCAGCAAGAAGCAAAACCAAACTGGACTCTGGTGCAGAAAATGTAGCCCATTACCACATGTAGCCTTGGAGACCCAGGCAAGGACAAGTACATGTGTACTCACAGAGGGAGAGAAAGATGTGTACAAAGGATATGTATAAATATTCTATTTAATCTTCCTGATGTGAGGAGCCATTGTTGCATGATGAAAAGATGGTATGATTCTACATATGTACCTATTGTCTTACTGTTTTTGTACTTTATTTTCAGGTCATTTACACTTGGGAGATTTCAGAAACATTCCTATCACCATCACTTAGAAATGGTTTGCCTTAATGGAGACAGTGGCAGATCTGTATGTAGTATTTCCAATAGACATGGCCTTTTAATGTAAAGGCTTAATCAGTCTTAGCCTTTATTGTAGTTGGAGGATGGCGATGCTGTGATGGACGCATATCCTGGTTGGCCTTTAACACAGTGTCAGCACCATTTATTTGTTTGCAGCTTTTTAAAAATACCTGTTGGCTATGCCTCTTGAAAACAACTTGAGAAGTTTTCGTTGATGTTTTTCTCACTAAAATATGGAGCAAGTGTTAGCCTTACATGTTGTATAGACTAAATTGCACCCTTGAAATGTGTTGGATCAATTTGTGGATTCATAATAGCAAGATTAGCAAAGGATAAATGCCAAAGGTTACTTTATTCTGGATACTTTAGATCAACACTGATTAAGTAGAAAATCCAAACTTTGCTTGAGAACTACTGTAATGTGGAGAGTAAAAGGTATTGGTTTTATTCTTTGCTGATGTCTTTTTAGCTTGAAATAACAGTCCCCATACAGCTAAAGGAGAGGAGTTTCTTTCCTTCTAAGTAGGCAGAAATGGGATCATTATATTGCCACTATGCAATATCCCAGAGCTCGCTCTTTAGAGAATCGCCTCCTTTCACTTTTTTTTTTTTTTTTTTT